TGGGGCCAAAGATTTGGAGTTTGTGGGGCCAAGGATTTGGGGTTTGTGAAGTCGTGGATTTGGGATTTGTGGGGTCAAGGATTTGGGATTTATGGGGCCAAGAGTTTGGGGTTTATGGGGCCAAGGATTTGGGGTTTGTGGGGCCAAGGATTTGGAGTTTATGGGATAGAGTTGGGGTTTGTGGGGCCAAAGATTTGGGGGCTTGTGGGGGTCAAGGATTTGGGATTCATGGGGCCAAGATTTTGGGATTTATGGGGCCAAAGATTTGGGATTTATGGGGCCAAGAGTTTGGGATTTGTGGGGCCAAGAGTTTGGGATTTGTGGGGCAAAGGACTTGGGATTTGTGGGGCCAAGAGTTTGGGATTTATGGGGTAGAGTTGTGGGTTTATGGGGCCAAAGATTTGGGGTTTGTGGGCCCAAGAATTTGGGGGTTGTGGGGTCAAAGATTTGGGATTCATAAGATAGAGTTTGGAGTTATGGGGCTAAGGATTTGGGGGTTGTGGGGCCAAGGATTTGGGGTTTGTGGAGCCAAGGATTTGGGATTCATGGGGCCAAGAGTTTGGGATTTATGGGGCCAAGGATTTGGGATTTATGGGATAGAGTTTGGGGTTTGTGGGGCCAAGGATTTGGGGTTTGTGGGATATAGTTGGGGGTGTGTGGGGCCAAGGATTTGGGGTTTGTGGAGCCAAGGATTTGGGATTTGTGGGGTCAAGAGTTTGGGATTTATGGGGTCAAGAGTTTGGGGTTTATGGGGTAGAATTGTCGGTTTATGGGGCCAAAGATTTGGGGTTTGTGGGCTCAGGGATTTGGGATTTATAGGATGGAGTTTGGAGTTATGGGGCCAAGGATTTGGGGTTTGTGGGGCCAAGGATTTGGGATTTATGGGGTAGAGCTGTGGGTGTGTGGGGCCAAGGACTTGGGATTTATGGGGCCAAGGATTTGGAGTTTATGGGGTAGAGTTGTGGGTTTATGGGGCCAAGGATTTGGGGTTTATGGGGCCAAGGATTTGGGGTTTATGGGGCCAAGGATTTGGTGTTTGTGGGGCCAAGGATTTGGGGTTTGTGGGCTCAGGCATTTGGGATTTATAGGATGGAGTTTGGAGTTACAAGATCAAGGATTTGAGGTTTTGGGGTCACGTTGTGGGGTCTGTGGGGCCCGTGGCTGAATTCCTTTTTCCCGAGGTTCCAAATGAGGTTTCCGAGAGCTCCGGGGGCGGCTCCGGCTCCTTCCAGTCCCTCTGGAAAAAACCCGGAATTCCAGGGAGCCTCCTCGGGGTTTGGGCCCGGCTTTGGGCCTTCCAGACCCGGCCTAGAGCTCCCTAAACCCAGCTTTGAACCCCCCTAAACCCAGCTTTGAATCTCCCTAAACCCAGCTTTGAATCCCCCTAAACCCAGCTTTGAATCCCCCTAAACCCAGCTTTGAATCCCCCAAACTCAACTTTGAATCTCCCTAAACTCAGCTTTGAACCCCCCAAAACCCAGCTTTGAACCCCCCAAAACTCAGCTTTGAATCCCCCAAAACCCAGCTTTGAACCCCCCAAAACCCAGCTTTGAATTCCCCTAAACCCAGCTTTGAACCCCTCTAAACTCAACTTTGAACCCCCCTAAACTCAGCTTTAAATCCCCAAAACCCAATTTTGAATCCCCCTAAACCCAGCTTTGAATCCCCCTAAACTCAACTTTAAATCCCCTAAACTCAACTTTGAGCCCCCCTAAACCCAGCTTTGACCTTTCCCAACTCCCAGGAGCGTTTCCCAGGCCGGGCTCACCTTTAGGGTCGGGATTTTTGGGACGGGGTCGGGGTCGTGGGGCTGGACCAGAGCTCCCAAATCTGCAGGGGAAGATTTGGGAATTTTTTGGGATGAGGAGAAACTTTGGGATCATCCCAACCCCATGGGAAGTGACATTCCCTGATAAAAAAAAAAAAAAAAAACAAACCCCAAATACACCAAAAAATCCCACTGAAACAAAATAGAAAATAAAACATCCAGGTAAAAACAAAATATCACAATAAAATAAAATATCCCAATTAAAAAATACCCAAATAAAATAAAACATCCCAATTAAAAAATACCCCAATAAAATAAAATACCCCCATAAAATAAAATACCCCAATAAAAGAAAGGATCCCAGTAAAACCAGTTCCCCCAGTTGCTCACCTGAGGAGTCGCTGCCACTCGTGACCTGGTCCCGGATCCCTGTGACCAGAACAGACCCAAAATTGGGATTTTTCCACCCAAAATCCTCCTTGGAAAAACCCCAAAAAAAGGAGCTGAAATT